ATTTGCAATTTATGCATTCTTATTACACTTCTGGTTAGGCCATGTACTAATACTGGATAAACAGATTCTCTGCAAAATAAACTCCATGTAAGAGATATTAAGGTTAGGACACATGCAGATGAAAGCCAGTGAATGCAAAGCTAAATCTGCCTCTCTGTGCTTAGACTGCCCTACTGGGGAAAAGCATACAGTTCCAAATGCAGGGCAGAAGACCAAAATCAAAGGTTGCACACCCAGAGGATGGTGTTCATTTTTTATCCCTGAACATCAAGTTATTTATTTGAATTTTTTAGTGAAAATTATCTTGTTCTAATAAAAAGTCAGTAGTAGAATATATATGAAAGTATATATTTTACATGTTAAAGAATCTATACCGAGCAGAGCAGCTGTTATCATTTTGCTCTTTGACAGTGGTTTATGTTTCAAAAAAGTTACAAGGTGACAAATGGTATCTATCTTTAGCATATAATGTTTTAAGATTTATGAAAGCATGCCTTTTCCTAACTTTTTCCAGATTCATTGTGATGGAACTTACAAACCATACAATTCACAAAAAATATATAATAAAATATTTTAATTTTAACTTAGTATTATAATTTAGTATATTCAGAGTTGTGTAGCCATAACTTTAATCTATTTTAAAATATTTTCTTCACTACAAAACCAAAAGTCTTTTATCACCCCAAGTCCCTGTTTTCCACCATACCACTAGGTCATAAACCCACTTTCTGTCATATATGACCTGCTTGGAAATAGTCATATAAATACAATCTTAACACACAGCCCTAGGAGATTGGTGTCATTTTTAACATTTTATATCTTTGGTGTACATGCATCGATAGTTATTTTAAATAATTAATATTCCAGTGTCTGGATCAGCTACACATTATCAATTCGTTAGTTCACATGTGTTTGGGGTGCTTTCTACCTTTTGAATATCGGGTTAATGTTACTATGGATATTAGTATGCCAATCTTGAAGCATATGCTTTTATTTCTTTTGGGTATACACTCGGAGTAGAATTGCTATGCCAAATAGTAGCTGTGTTTAACAATTTTAGGAAGTAAGGGAATTATTTACAAACTGGCTGCACCTTGTTCTATTCCCCTTAGCCATGTTATGATTTCTCCATTTTAGCTACATGCTCATCACGGTGTGCCCTACTGGCTCATGTGTTAGCCATCCTAGTGGATGTGAAGTACATCCCATTATAGTTTGTTTAACTTTCCCCAATGAATAATAATGTAGAGCCTATCTTCATGTGTTTATGGGCCATTTATTTATTTTTTTCACTAATGAGTTTATAGCTAAATGATTTGGGAGGTTGGAGGAGCTGAGTCAATGGGCACACGGCTTGGAGGATGCACCTTCTCCCCTCCCCCATTTCTCTTTCTGCTCCTCTATCACACCAGCCTGCCCTGGAGCCGCTGACTGGGGATTGAAACCTCTACAAACTGTGAGTCAAAATAAACCCTTCCTCCTTTGATTTGTGGATGTTGGGTATTATGTCTCAGCGAAGAAAGAGTAACTAAGACATCAAGTTTCATTATCAAGTGTTTTTTAAAAAATCAATTAAAGATTCTTTTACTAAACTCGTCTTTCTTCAGCATCCTCCCTCCCCAACCCTGCCCCCTTTTAAATAGGGTCTCGCTGTGCAATCCATGCTGGCCTAGACCTGTCTGTGTAGCTCAAACTGACCTTGAACTCATGATTTTCCTGCTTCAGTCTCCTGAGGTCTGAAGTTACGGGCATGAGCTATCTTTAGTCCCTAATACATTATCTTCTTGTTGAGGGTTGATCCACTGATGAGCTCATAGCTAAATGTGATGTGAAGAGGTGGGGATAGTTGGGAGTTGTTATCTCTGGGGTATGTCTTGGGAGAGTATATCTGTTTCCATATCCCTCTCTCCAAACCCACCATCCTTCCTGGCTGCCCTTGGTTGAAGAGCCTTCCTCTGCCAGGCCCTTCTACCATCCTGTTTCTGCCTTGGATCTAGCCAAATGTGAACTAAATCACGAGCCAAAATACGCCTCTTATCCTTTCAGATGATGGTTGTTGGTATTGTGTCTTAGTGATGGGAACAGGACTAATGCACTTTGCTTTTATAAACTCTGTAGAGTTGTCTCCTCAAGGCTCCAAGGAGAACTCATTTTTCCATGGCTTACTTTATGCAGTGGAAGAACAGTTTGGGATTAGCCAAATGGCTAATGTCTGAAGCATTGATGTGGGAGGTGGAGCCCTGCTCACTGGGGTTGGGGAGCTACTTGTCCGCGCCAACTGGGGTCTCTAGCAGGCAAATGAAGCTGCAGGACCATCGTGGGAGGTGTTTTCTGGGAGGGGCCTACAGTGCCTTAATCCTGTGAGGATTGGGCAATAGAAAGAACAGAAAATAAAATAATCAGAATTAACTTTCAACTTTAGTAAATGGAGCCTTTTGCCTAATGAGGAAGGCGAGTTCTGCTAAGGTTGGGGAATCTCTATGAAAAGAATCCCGCTGTTCTTACAGGTGGTAGGAACAACCACATCACCATGATGGTGATAATAGCTGATATTTATTTAGTGATGACCAGGTGTCCAGCACTGGCTGTGATAGATTTGAGTCCTTATGGAAAGGCTATGATATAGGTAATACTGTTAGCATCCCTGCTTTATTAGTTAAAGCAATGACTAAACAGGAAACGTGGTTTTGTAGACGACTTGGCATATGCCAGAACCTTTCAGAAATCATCACTGTAGCTTTGGGATTGGGGATATCTCATCCCCCAGCTTATCCTTTAAGATTTTGAGCTAATCATTTGTCTCAAATGTTATCCACCACCATATGCAGCCAGGAAATTAAATCAATTGACCTCAAGTGTTTTTCCCAAACCTCTCTAGGGAGGATTACTGCACTGGGTGGTCTCTAAGTCAGGTCAAATACAGTCGGGCAAGTGAAGTCTTCCAGGTATCCAGCAGATAGGTCAAATGATGACAGTTCTCTGACAAGGAGGCTTTGAAAGAGCTCTACCTTTTTCCTGTTCCTCTGGGGGCTGCGTTGAAATATGAGTTGTTTTCAAGTCTACCATGAAGCTAGAGGGTGAGTTATTGGACAGTGTCGCAAACTTCACTTTTTATAGAGAGCTTTGGTTGTTTCTCTTGAAAAAATGCTTTATGGGTTGCTACAAGAATTTAGTTGTTTTTCAGAGTTCTGAAAAAGCTGACTCTGAAAAAGTTTTGCTAGATTTTTCATTGTTTTGTGGAGAAAATTTTCATAGATTCTTGTGTTACCATTTTCTTGAAATCTTTTCTGCTGTTCATGACCTCATGCATGTTTTTGCCAGAGCAGCATAGAATTGCCTGTAGTAGTTAAAATAACTCCCTCATTTAATTGAGTTGGCTTTGCTTGGTCAAACTACCAGGAAATAAGAGAAACCTGGCTAAAACACATATCCTAATCCAGTAATGTTTATGAGTTTTTTTTGTCTTAATGTACGGTATGATGCCAGTGAATTTATATTTGAATACCCTTAAATGGCTACACATTATTTTACTTTGTGGGTAAGATATAAAGTCTAACTAGTCTTGCTTCATTGACTTTTTAGATATGTTTTTATATATCTTTTTTTTTTTTTTTTTCTAGTACTGGAGATCGGACTGAGGACCTTGCTCTTGCAAGGCAGGTGATGGCACCACTGAGCTAAATGCCATGCCATTATTGTCTTTTTTAAATGATTGAAATCCCACAGTTGGTTTTGTTGTTGTTGCTTTGTTTTTGTTTTTCGAGACAAGTTCTCACTACATAGCTCAGACCAGTTTGAATTCACTGTGTAGTTCAGGCTGGCCTCAAATTCCTGGCACTCCTCCTGCCTCAGCCTCCCTAGTGCTGAGACTACC